AATAAACACTGTTCTTTATTCCTTGTGTTTTAATGACTGAATGAAAGTTAAGGGAATATTTGTTTTCCTTCCCTTCAGGGCTACTTTGAAACAGTTTGACTTGCAAACAGGATTTCAAACTCTCACAGCTATACTGCTGAAGCATTTTGATGCTGTACAATAAAATAAATAAACAAGCAAACAGTCAGGCAGCAAGAACATCACCTGAAATCTTTATCTGCCAAGTGCTTACAGTAAAGGACTGTGTGGAAGTTAGCTGTCCCAGGCTCTTTGGCTGATTCAGCTTTGTAAATCCCCATTGCTAAAACAGAGAACAATGACACATTTCAGAAATATCATGAAGCTTGACTGCTCAGGCTTGTCAGGAATTTTCTAGGGTCCAGTTACAGACTGTCTGTAGGTCAATATTGATATTCAGTTATTTGTAACTGAAAGGTATTAGTTAAAAGCTGAAGCCACAAGTTATTTTCTGCTAGTTCAGAATAACTGGCATTAGAAAAGTTTCTTTTATGAACTTCACCATGAACGGATCAGAGACTGTGTTGCACAGTCCTTCATTCCATTCACCTTCATGAAAGAGTCAACTGCTTATATACTAGAAGGCATTTTATTCAGATGAGGTGTGGATTCACAATTTTCTGTCAATAAGTTAGAATGCAGACTCATTCTATCTGTATATATGTATAGCTCTGAGTTAACAGAGGTAAGCTAGGCAATACCTGATTTAGCAAGCCCTTACAGCTGCATGCATAGACAGTACCTGATACGCCATAAAATCTGCTGCACAAAGACAACTCTTTTGGAAAGTTTCAAAGAATTTGAACTAGCTGAATCAGCTTATGCCCAGCCAGCACTTCGAGTGGCACTGCCAGTCTGCCAATAGGAGTCCTGAGGCTGAACCTCAAACCTCAACCACAGGCTTCAGAGGAAAACAGTTATAGACTTCCAAGAAGCTGTGGAGATCCTAGAATTTGGTTTGAGTTAAGAACCAAGTCTTTAGTCACTCCAAAAATTTTTTGTGAAACATTAGCAATTCTTAAAGGATCATATATATTTAATATATATAACTTTTGGATGTTTGACCTACAGAATCAAAACCACTGGTTTTTTCCTTTTCTGTCTGAAACAATCTCTATGAAGACATGTAAAGCTTCATAGTTTTCGTGGATTTTATTTTGGAGGTAGAGTAGACCAAAGAGTGCTACCATTCATCCTTGCCATGTATGTATACTCAGCTATATCCAGAAGCCTCAGACACACTCCCTACATGCAAGCAGATTAATAACGGCACACCAGTCCTATTCCTTCAAGAAAATTAGATAAATTTTCCATTCCATTTACAGTTACATATGATCATTAAAAAGCAGACCTTTACTTCTGGAGTTGATGGTATAAGCAAGATCTGCTTGCTTATGTAGAATGTAGGTAGACAGTTTGCTGGTAAGCAACATCCCTATTAGCTGACACAAAACTTTAGTGAGCCAGATGCACTACAAATCTGCTGGAATCAGTTGGACAAATTGTACATAAAATACTCTTCTAAGACTTTACAATGATTAGGGGCCACAAAACACAGGAGGGCAGAAGTACAGAAGCAGAGCACAGAGTATTGGGTACAACTCATCACAGCCATGATTGTAAAGGAGATGGCAAGGTCCCATTGAGAAAAGTCAAAGATGAAGCTCACTGTGGGGACCTGGAGATGTCTAGGTGGCGTTGCTGACTTGTAAACAGGCTAGACAGGACAGCAGATGATGCCACAAAACCTAGTGACTTAGCAGGAATTTTGAGATATTTGATAATTGAATGTGGATTCTTTCACATCTACATTGGAGACTCAAACCCAATGCTTTGGGTCACTCCAAAAGTAATGCTCCTATTTATTTCCACAGAAACTACAACAGATACAAAGAACAAGTTAACAGTATTTGACAGACTAAATTCTCAGCATAAGGTAAACATAATCAGATACATATCTCAAAGCCCGATTTTCATTATACATCAAAGAACAAGCTGAACCAGATCCTAGCCATATAGAAATGATGTATATATTTTTTCTCCTGAGACAATATTCAGTGTATCAATGCCAAGTGTGTAATGGTTTGTTTATATTTGATACAGAGAATGTAATTTATACCAGCTGCACCAGGCTCAGTGGCAAGAGGGCTTTCCCTGCCTGCAGATAGTGGCTGCCTGTGTCACACCCTGTCACCATGCCTGTGCTGCAAAGAGTCTCTTCAAATTCACAGCAAATTAAGAAGACTAGACATAAACATAAAAGCATTAAATGACTGAGTTCAACTTCATGGTCATAGGCAACATTAGCCTTACTGGTAGCAGATCACACTGCTCTGGGAACAGAGGCTTAATTTTTCAGGATCCTCTCTCATCCTATTGGCTTGAACTCTTAGTAGAGACAGTGCCCCAGAAACAAAGTTCTTTTTCCAGCTTCACTCTTATCCTGCAGCTCATCACACTTTTGCTAGTCCTGCAAAAATCTGATTGAAAATGCTGCAACAGGAACAGAAATCTTATTCCCCACTATTTCCCCACTGAAATATTTATGGTAATTTGTAAATAAATGTCGAAAATAATGTTATTAAAAGCACGTAGAGATTGCAAATGCATTCTAGCAAGATCCAATCAATAACACCAACCAATTATTTCTAACCACATTACTTGCAGTCTCTTGGACTTACTGTTATATAATGTTGCTGATCAAATTTAGATCAATATTTTGTACTTTCATTTATGAGACACCTTAACTTGGGTGAACGACGGATGCTACTGCAGTAAAGAAGAGTTCAAAGTGTTGCCCTCACGTGAGTCACATCAGCTGCAATCTTTAAAAAGGAATATCAGGAGTTTAACTAACATCTGAATTTCCTGTTACATAAGGATAAAATTTTAACTCAACACAGAGATAGCTTGACCCTGTTTAGTAATAATTTAAACTGTTAGCTCACAGCTGTAACAAGAAAAGTTCATTTTGCAAGAACATGATGGCCTACTCTGTTTATCTTCTGAAGGGTATAAACACAGACATCCTACTTTAGGAATTTTTTGTCCTTCTGCAAAGCAGCCCAAAGGGGAAATTCTAGAAGTTGCACAAGAAAAATAGTCCCTGCACGGTCACTGTATGAGACCACGACCTTAAAAAAAAAAAAAAAAAAAAAAAAAAAAAAGCAGCAGCAAGCAGTGAGGTTTTTTTGTTTGTTTGTTTGTTTTTTGTTTTAAATGAAGACCATAGCTACAGTATCCAGATCCTGCATCCCCCTCCTAAGACTGATTCACTGATTCGGCTTCCCTGGTTCATAGAGGCTTGGTATCATTGCTTTTTCCAACTCTACCTGTACTGAACCTGCAAAGCAACATGCAGAGCCAGGCTCTCTGGCAGCCTGGTGCCTAGCAGGGTTGTGCCCACCAGCAGGGGCATGCACCTGGCTGTGAGTGCCACCGGTCCCCAGCCCTCCCAGTTCAGACTTCTTGGAAACAGTGCTTGGGTGGTGTCATGCTCAAAGGTTTTCCTCACATTTTGCTGTAAAGCAGTGCAGTTTCTGCTATTATTTACACTATAGCATCTTCCCTGATCTACCTCAGGCTACTGGCATGAAGAAGCATCACTTAAAAAGTAATTTAGCAAACAAGTATACTTTCCCTAGGGTGCAAATAAGAGGAAAAGTTGTAGTCAATAGCTAATGTAAGCAAAAGGTGCCTTGGGGGAACCCTAAGAATCACGTCTTTGAAACCAGCAATAACTTCTGGTGCTATTGGTCCTGAGGCAGCAGCAGTCAACATTGTTTAAAAAAGCTCCCTTATGGTGTACTCATTAATTAACTGCACTGTTTGTTGATTCTAGATTGATTCAGTTAGTTCTCTGGAGAGTGTTTTTGGAAACTCAGTAATGCCTTGATGCAGAATTTCATCTTCAGGCCCTAAATTCCCAGGATGCTGCTTTACTGGGACATATAGAAGACAAAGTAAAAAAGGAGAATTTGCTAAACAAAAATGATAATCAGAATATTTTAAATTCAGATGTAATTTTTGAAGACTTTCCCCACAGAGCTAAAAAATTACCTGCAGCAAAGTTTGACAGACAGGCAGGCTTTATCAAACAGAGAACCAGACAAATAGCATGCAAAGCAGATAGGAAAGTATTTGCTCCTAATTACTCAAGAAAGCATTTTAATTAAGTTGTTTGCCAATTAATGCCTCTTTTCTTAGTATTCCATAAATATTTAAGCATGTTACATAAACTTTTCTTCACAGGAACACTTACAAATATTAGTAAAGATATTTTGGAAGGATCTTGTAACACAATACACTTTAAAATGTGAGTGTTCTTTGCTATTCTTGTGAATAAATAAGCACAGAAATGTGCTTTATTTTGCAGGAGAGCTAGAATTTGAAGGGAAATACATGCAGATCCTTCTCCTCTTTTTGTATTCCTCCAGACTGATGACTCAGTGGTTTATACAAGCAGACCTATTACGATAAACTATTTCACTTCAAAAAATCTAATTAACAACAAACAAGAAGCAAGAGGGGGAATTAAAATGACCTCAGCATTTAGCCCAGGTATAGCCAGGTCTCTGCCTGTCTCCATCAGAGCCTACGTGGCACACAAGCTCTCTGTCCCAGCCCACTCAGAGCAGAAGGCACCCGTGAGTGGAAATGAAATACTCAGCCTAAATACACATCCTGCTCCATTCCAGCAAGCCTACGGTGCTCCGAGCACAGAAAACAAACCTCTCTTTCTCCTCATAAGTTAACCACTTCCTGTTTTTATGGCACAGCTGACTATAGATCTCCACATAGGCACTTTATCTGTTTATTTATTCATTGATTTGCTCTCCCTAGAACATTCCTTCCTAGCCCAAGGTTTGCTTGCTAAATGACCACAGCTTCCCCTTATCTCAGAAATTTGTTTTAGATTTTGAAACCAGTATCCTGTCCCATACCCCTTTCACTTTCATTAGCCTTTTATTACTGGAACAGGCTTTGCATGATGATTCAGGAGAAACAGCTGTTCAGGATCAGAGGGGACACAGGCAATGGGGCTTGTGCTGGGGGAGATCAGGGAGAGGAGGACACTCAGATTGGTGAAGCCTCAGCATCTCATGGGCATTACAGTGCATGGAGCTGGCTGGTGCGTCACCCAACATTTCCTCAGTCCATGCATTTGTAAGATGGAGGGAAAGCCTGAAAAAGACCTGTTTGGATGCCTTAGCTAATTTTATAACTCTCCCTCTTCCTCTTCTCTTGCACATTTCTATCTCCCCCAGTTCCTCATTCAGACAGAGGGTGATTTATGGGGCTGCCTTGCCTATGGAGGCAGCCGAGCTACAAGGTCAGAATGGAGATCTGTTTGCAAAACAGAGTAGTAAATTATTAATTAGGTTAAAGAAGAATTTTCGCAATCTGTGCTTTCAAAATCATCAGGGAATCAAGCAAATGAAATGCCAAAAAGAACTGTTTATTCATAATTTTCTTTAAAAAGAAACAAAAACCACTCTCTGTTCAATCTATTCCTATTACAAGAAAGGAAGATGCTGAAGAAAATTTTCCCTAGTAGGGGGGTTTCTTTGTAACTGAGTCACAAAATAAAACCTTGAAATTCCATTCAATTAACCACTTTTTCTGCTTTCTCTGCTGATTTTTAGAAGCAAGACAAAGCAGGAGATGACAAGCCCCTGAGGAAAAAAAGCAAAGTTGCAAGAGGCTAAACAGAAGATAAGAGCTACATAACAGGTAAATAGGATAAAGTTCTCAAGTGTTTAAATGAAAGTTTGCACAAGGGGGTCCTGAGTCTTACTCAGGACCCTGAGTTCTGCTACGCCGTGAATAATAAGCAACAACATGACTTCATCTTACAATATACAACCCCTTTCAGGGCTTTTGCTTCTGGTCACACCTAAAGCACATTAAGAAGTACTTCCACAAGTAGAGACGCATAATCATGCTTACCTTTCACCAAAATCAGCATCTTATTTCCAACTTGTGTACAGAAAATACATAGATACACTGCACAAGGGTCCCTCAGCCACACCACATAGGACAGCTCAAAGAAGCAAGACCTCCTTCACTACAGAACATTTTATCTCTGCTCCTTAAAACAGTGAGACCAAGAGCTGAAAGTTTTCACCTGTGTTGATAGGCAACACCTCACTGCTGATAAGAACTAGAAAATTTTCTATATTTGTAGCTACTTACAGAGAAAATAAACTGTCTGGATAAATAGCAGGTGCTCATAATACCTGAGAAGTCTTAGTGTTTTGCAGAGGGTGTGATCCCTGTGTTATACAGGTCAGTATTTAGGCACTGAGTACAACTAGGGAAGCTGTCCACCACAGGACTAATACTGTACATTTGGGAGAAGCAACTGTGCTTAGCTCACCAGCATGCCTCCAATTTGAGGATGTGCATCAGTAATATCAAAGGGTGATGCATTTACCAGTGTCATGCAGAACAGCCAGTTGTGGCAACAGTACCAGTGTGCTGTGGAAGGGAAGTGGAGCCCCATGTTTCCTGTGTTCAGGGCAGCCAAGCCTTTCTTCCATTTGCTGTTTTGAGCTGCAGCTACAAGCTATGGATAGTTTTAAATGAATGGCAAGCACAGGGACAACAATGTACGTGTATCAAGCACAGATTTTCCACTAGGCAGACAAGCAGGTTTTGGTGTTAAGCAATGCCTGCCTGAAGTCTTTCCTTCTCTTGTAGCAGCTGTATGAAAGAGACAAGACCTTTGCTTAAGGACTTGTTTTCTGGATTTTTCTGAGTCCAGACTTTTTTCTGGTGGCAGTAAGTCAAGGCTTTGAATTTTGGAGCAGTGACTTTGCATTGCCCTTCAAGCAAAAGGAGGGAAAGGTATACTCAATGTAATCAGTTTGCAATTGGATATGTAAGAAGAGTGTTTCTTTTCCATCACACGCTATGCTTATGATGATTTTTTAAAAAACTTTATCATGTCTTTTCCTCAAATTCAACAGTTAATGAGATTTAAGGAAATAAAATGTCCGTGTCTCCTTAGCAGTAATCAATCTGATGGCTAAAGCAAGGGATGGGAGAAAAATAGAGATCTTTGGACCTTCTTAGTACATTTGTTACCTTTGTCTGCCATAAGGAAAGACATCTATGAGAATCTGGAGGAACTCCAAACATTTGCCAGCTGGTTTTGAATGTTCTCAGCTGTGTATGCTGTTGGATAATCTTACACTTATTTTGTGCTGTTTGTTGCTGCCAGATAGTGTTACTGTTTAATGACAGTGTTAGAGAAGGCAAAAGTAGGTCCTGCTTCTGAGCTAGAAATAAGCTTGCATATTTTCAACTGAAAGTTGATCCAGTCTAGAAAGAGAAAAATATCCCCCCATGTTTTCAGTTGGCTGCTCCTCCTAATACTGATGGGAAAATAAACAATTTTCAAGTCTTTGATTTTGTTTATCTTCCCTTCCATTATTCCCATTCCAATACTTTTCACTTATATGAATAAAAAATCAGAGTAGAGACTAAAAATGCTTACAGAATTTCTGACAGATCTGAAGATCTTGCCTTAATCCTCTCCCTTTACCATGCAGTAAGTTTTGATGTTTTTCCAGCCAGGATCAAGTTGTGGGTTGTTTTTTTTTGTTTTTTTTTGGTTTTTTTTTTTTTTTTTTTTTTTTTTTGTTTGTTTGTTTGTTTTTGATTTTTTGGTCTGCTCCTAGATTTAAATCTAAATTTCATAGGCAGTCAGATACTCCTGTTTTCTAAACGTTTACCCAGCAGTTCAGTGACCCATTACTATTCTATTTTTGTTTTAGAAAAGATGCTCTCAAAATACATGTCAAGGACAGCAAAATAAATAGGATCTTGACCCCTGAAGTCACTGTCAGCTTCTTCCCAGCACAAAGTCTAATTGAAGACACTAGTGATCTGCTGGAAATTTTGTTGGGCTCTGTGAAAACTGTGCATCAGAATTTGTTTAGAGAATGTGATGTGTTTATTCAGAGAATTAACTCAAAACAGCTGAAATTCTTAGTTAAAAATACTATGGGTTTGATCAATAACATATACTTTGTTTTTTAATCTGCTTTTATGTTAATAAATTCTCCACTCTTAGGTACTTATTTCTCCTTCTAATTCTCCTCAGGCTTTTAGCTATCATTTTCCTCCTTCTTACAGAAATGTTCTACTCCTAACTATGGAAATAAATCATCAGTTACAACACTATTCACCTGTTAACTTTGCTTCAGTTAGGTTGATCAGTGAAAGAATGGATGCCACCAAAATCCACAGTTAGTTGTAAATTGGCTTGCATTTCTAGAAATCTCTCATTAATTATCTGTGTTTTCACTCCCATGATTAAAACCTGTTAAGAACCCCTTTTCCTGCAGACTACACCCTCTGAGGTTAGAGTTTTTGGACAACTCTCAACAGATAGATTCTATTAGAAAATAAAAATATGTTACAAGCAAAAGCTCTTCCCAGCAAAGAATCATTTTGTTCCAATCTCAGCTTGTTTTGTTTTGTGTTGGAATTATTCATTTTTTTCCATGGATGCAAACAAACAAACCAACAAACATTAAGTAGATATCCACTTCAGAAGAATTTTTGATTACAGATTTGCTATAAATAAAGTCCAAACAATAGTCTAACTTTTTTTTTTTATCCCAAAAATATTCACCGAGGTAGCTTTTGAATCTTCTGGGACAATTCTCACTGAATCTAAATCACATTAACTTGTTGGGTTTTAATTGACTCTGCTATTAGAACGAGCTTTGTAGGCAGAACCCCAGATCTGGCCTGCAATTAGCAAGGCTCTGTCTATGCTGTGGCACTCAGGCAGTTTCCAGGAACATGCTGGCTCTGAGTGGGTGAAATGTGGGGTTTTTGCCTTCTTTACTTCACCATCCCAGAACTTCTTTTTTCTTCACATAGAAAGGCTTCCTGTGTGCAGACATTGGGCAAAACACACAGTATGCTGCCAAACACCTGCCCTAATCAGAGAGATCTGGGCCCTGCTATATGCATGCAACCATACATCTGTTTAGAATCATAGAATCATTAACGTTGGAAAAGATCTCTAAGATCACCTAGTCCAACCATCAACTCATTCTCACCATGCCCACTAATTCCCATCCCTCAGTGCCACATCTCCACAGTTCTTGAACCCCTCAAGGAATGGTGACTCCACTGTCTTCCTGGGCAGACTGTTCTAATTCATTACCACTCTTTCTAAGAAGAAATTTTTCCAAATATTCAGCCTGAACCTCCACTGGTGCATTTTGAAGCTATTCCCTCTCATTCAGATGCAGCTTAAGCAGGATGTCTGTAGGCTGGAATGATGCTCAGGGCCATGTAATTGAAGCAGCTTCGAGGAAGTCTACAATACTCTTTCTTACAACTGGCAGTTTACTTTTACCTCCAGGACACTTTCTAAGTGACACGTGACCATAAAGGAGCACAGAGTTTTGCAAGAGGAATATTCCCTCAGGTCCCAGAAGGGCTTGAAATTTCAATTGTATGGTCTCCACATCTAGCTGATATAGGAATAAAAAATGAATAATAGCTTTGTTCAAATAGGACAGGAAAATGAAAACTCCCATGTGCATCTGGTGCTCTGGAGATGTGCAGCTGGCATAGGGGGTAGGATGAGCAGGCAGCAGCTGCTCTTTGTGGTACATTCCTCTTGGGATTGAGCCTACCTCTAGACAGGAATACATCTGGGAGTTAGCACTAGCTGAATGAGAAGTCCCACCTAGCTCAACCAGTCAGTGGGGACTGCACAGGGGACTCATGCCGTGGAGGGAAGAAGACAACCAGCAGCAGCCTCTGCGAGTGTACAGACTTGTGTTTCATAACCTCAGAGCATAGACCACGTATGTAGCACTCACCTCCCTCCTCATCCAGGCTTTTCTCACTGTCCCACTGCTAGCACAGTTAGAGCAGGCCAAAGCACTCAGCACAACCCTCTCTTCTGAAGTGCTGCTCTCATCTGCTACGAAAAGACCTATGCAGTCACAGGGAATTGCAGTCCACAACAAAAAAATAATGGAATCATAGAATCATGGAATGGCGTGTGTTGAAAAGGACCATAAAGACCATCTATCAATCATCTTTCAATTTCCTGCCACAGGGTCGCCAACCACCAGACCAGGCTGCCCAGAACCACATCCAGCCTGAGCTTGAGTGGCTCTGGGGATGGGGCATCCGCAACCTCCTTGGGCAACCTGTTCCAGGCATCACCACCCTCTGATTGAAAAAACTTCCTCCTAATATCCAACCTATATCTCCCCTGTCTCAGTTTAAAACCATTCCTCCTTGAATCCTGCCCCACCAAGAGGCTTTGGGTGGATTTAGGGACCTACTGAACAGAGGAAATGAAACTGGGTGTCCCACTTACTAGCTTCTCCAGTTGCTGCCACTCAGCAAACCTGTGCTCCGCATAGTTGATTAGTTGATTAAAGGGAGACCAAATCCCTGCTTTTCGCGAGGTTTCCATAACCTGATATTTATCACTCCTCTCAGTGGTATTCCAGCATCTATCTGCTTTTAAAATCTTGTGCCATGCCCCTGCTGACTTTCAGCAATCCTCTACTTCATGCAGTGTCCTTTTTAAACCTCACTTCAAGCCACTTAACTCACCCCAACTACCACATGTGTAGTCTGCTGACTTCTCAGACTGAAGGTCTGCCACTACGTTTTCACCACTATGAATTTTAGATGCAACAGTGGGCTTGGCCTGTAGGCCAAAAAATGTAAAGCTAATGTAAATTGGCAACATGCCCAGCTGGATATCCCATGAAACAAATGTACAATTTGTCAATTTCAACTTCTATCAGATGTGTAGCAAAAGGACCTTTGTAAGGATATATGGCTCAGTAGTTAGAAAAAAATCATCCTGAGAATGAAAATCAACATCCAATTTTACCATCGCATGTAGTTTTCAGTCACTAGCTCACAGAATTACAGTCAGGGTCCCACATCCTGGCTGTCATTAGCAGCAGCCTGCAATAGTCCCTCACATGGGATTTACTTTCTCCTCTTTTCTTTATGGACTCTTATAGAAAGGAGTATTTAAGGTTTTTCATTGTGCAGAGATATCAAAGGCTAAGAAGAGGCAGTGCATATCTACCACGTCATTCAGATTCTCCTTGCTTTTAAATTACTTCAACCTGCAACTATTGATGTATAGGCAAACAAATGTCAGAATAAATCCCTCACTTTGTTCTCCCCTGACACATTACAAAGATAACAGCTTCCACTAAATTTGGTTAAGCCTCTTCAGAATATCTACTGACCTACTCCTAGTCCAAATCTCTTAACGCTGAGTCTAATTTTGTTGCCGTCCAGACAACAAAAATATCTATGATACATTGAAATATATCTAAAGTGAATTAAGAATTAAGAGTTTTCACTTTGGTTATAAGAACTAGCTATTAAAAAAAAAAGAAAAACAAAACCCCAAAATATCTCGAGCTGTAGAGATCTCCTGTCTGCATCATGGTCCTTTAAAATCTGTCCCTGACTCTTCTAATCTCTTATGGGTCTCCAGAATGAAAATAGCTTACTTATCCCATATCTGAGTATTTTCCACTACAGCCTGGATTTTGTTAGTGAATACAGTTTTCAGAACGCAAATGATATTTAAGCTCAGTTGCAAAGACAGGCACACAAATCCATTTTTATATATGTCATCCACTTCTGTAGGGATGAAGATCAAAATCCTTAATATCCTCCTTCTAGCCCTCTTTAAACAGAGATTTACACACAGATTTATTTCAATTCCAGTTGATAATGACTTATAAGACTCTTGATGTCTTTGGAAAAATCAGCCTTGGCAGTTCTCCATTGACCCCCACAGTCAAGAGCATCACATCAGCTTGAAAATGGCTTATTTGTGTGGCTGAAAAGAAAATCCAATCTATTTACATATTAGGTCAATTATTTTCATTAAATGTTATCATAAGTCTTCTTTTAAGTGTGCTTGGCATGATTCAAGTCTGATGTTCTCACAAGATATCTGCTAAATATTAATCATATTGATATTTCTATTAACATAACCTGTTTTCAGGTTATAAGGTTTACCTTTTGTGCCAGGGGAAAATAGTATGTGGGTTGTATTTTGGTCACAGTAAGTAGTGGTGTATTCATGAAATATCAAACACTTTTTGCACAGTATCAGTTATTTGGAGGAGAAAAAAATCAATACAGTGTAGAAAATGACAAGAGTAAACATGGAAATTAACTCCTGGCACATCTTTTGTTCTGGGCTGTAATACTCATATTAAGATTGCCCCTTTTTAATAGCTTTCGAAAGAATTTCTTGCATAATGGCATTTTAGTCATCATGTTAATGTCAACAAACAAGGCAGATTAATGCTTATAATCCTGAGCTGTCTCACATTCTGCTTATTAGAACTGTAGGCAGATCTTCATTAGGATGAATGACATCTGAATCTATAAGCTCGTCACAACGGAGGCACCTTCTTGCTGTGGTGTCACCCTGCAGATGACAATGTCGGCCATTATGAATGACACTCCACAATTCGTTACTTCCTGCCTCAAATTGCAGTTAATCTTTCATCCAAACTGTACACATGTGCAGCTTTAAGTGGGCTATCACAGCAAGTACCCAGTAATGCTGCAAGCACATGGAGAATGACAGAAGGTAAATTGCTTGTCAGGAGGTCTGTATTTCAATTCACAGCATATTCCAAACACGTTGTGGTGAAAGCTCTCCACAACAGCTGCTTTCATTGCTAACTATTTTTGATGTAAATGTCAATAAAGCTCCAGGCCCTTTCATATTTTTGGCCAAGACTGTCCATCTTTCCCTATGCAGGCTGGCAGGTTGAGCTCCATTTATCTACTCTTAGGAACATGTCCTATAATAATGATTGTCTCTGGAGACCGTTTAGAGTGATTGAAAGCAGTGATTGGGACAATAGGCTGCTGAATTTCATTGCTGGATTGGGTTGACAGGTGACTGCTTTTATATCCTCTAATCTAGAAGAGACAGAAATAAAAACACAGTTATATCTAATCAACAGACTGGCATCTACAGATTGCAAACCCCGTACCTTCCGCTTACCCTTCTCTCTGGAATGACTTGACCACAAACTATTACAGGGCTCACATATTTCTCAGGTGGTCAGAGGGCTTTGAACAGAAGGGAAAAAGCAGCAGACGTGTTGCCTCCCTAGAAACGAGAAGCAGGGAAAGAACTA